AAAAAAAAAAAAAAAGAAGGTTCTTCTGGATCCTTAGTCCATCATTTTGCTAAAAATGGAAACTCATTTTGTCTGTCAGTGTCACTCTCTCAGTGTCATTGTTTTGTCATAATTCTGCCGAAGAAGTTCCATTTGAAATTTAAGGTCTCAGATGTGTGGGGATTTTTGGAAGGTCATATGCTGTCAAAAACTTGTCACTGGGCCTTGAGTCTACCTATGTAAAATTTATATCTTATTAGCTATTTTGTACCTTTTTTTTTTCCTAAGACAGAGTCTCAAGCTGTCACCTGGGTAGAATGCCATGGCGTCATAGCTCATTGCAACCTCCAATTCTTGGGCTCAAGTGATCCTCTTGCCTCAGTTTTTTAGTAGAAACAGGGTATTGCTTTTTGCTCAGATTGGTCACAAACCGGTGACTTCAGGTTATCCACCTGCCTTGGCTTCCCAGAGTGCTAGGATTACAGTTGTGAGCCACCATGCCTGGCCTATTTCTTATCTTTGAAACAAATGATAAACCCATCTGCATTCACTCATTTAACAATAGATTATGTTTGAAGACATAAAGCAGTGCTTCCTGACTCAGACCAGTAAAATTCTACAGAATCCAAAAGTTTAAAAAAAAGGAAAAATAATAGCTAACATTTTTTTCAGCTGTGTTATGTGCCAAGTAGTGTTTGAAGCACTTTTATATGTATTGTCATGTTTAATCCTTATACAATGTTTATATTAATAATATCTTCATTTTTCAGATAAGGGACCAAAGTAAGGATACCTTCATAAAAATCAATAATAATAAAGGGTGATACTGGGATTTTGGATTTTGCCAGTGTTACTTTATAGCTAGATCCTTTGTTCTTAACCATGACACTGATCATCTGTACCAATGGAGGAATAGGTGTGAGGGAGTATAGAAGAGGAATAGGAAAAATAATCCTAATTAGCACAATGCCCAAAGTAAAGGCAAAGGATGTATGTAAGCCAAAGCAATAAAAACTTTGGTGCCTTATTCTTTGGACAGTTGGGAAATCTGTCTTGGAAGGCATTAGACATTTATGGTACCTTAGCTTGGCAAGTTTAAAAGGTGAAAGGCATTTATGAGCCATCATGTCCTTTTTCTTTTATTGTACATAGTTAAAACAGTACTATGAGCCACAACCTGATCTGCTGCCTCCCCTGAAATTAGAAGCTTGTATTCTGACCCAAGGAGATCAGATCTCTCTACAAGAACCACTGGTGAGACTTTTATTCCTTCTTTAACATTTTTATTGTTAAGATAGGGTTGATCCTCATAAAGAGATATCTTTTCCAGTGAAACTCTCTTCCTGATTCTTTCAATAAATTTTTTTTCTTTAATCTTGTTTATCATTTCTGAATTATTATCACCTTGGATTTATTGGTAAGACATCACCATCTTAGCACTTTACTAAATCAAAGTACCACTTCCTCAAGGTGACCTTATTTCCCATTTCTGGATCTTCAATTACATACACTAAATAAATATACTTTTGGATAGGGGAGGAGTGGTCTAATAGGGAGGCTGAGGCTGAGGATTGCTTGAGCCCAGGAGTTCAAGACCTCCACTCTTAAAAAGAATGCAAGGAAGGATAGGTGCATACAAACCCAAAGGACCTGGTTCATTAGTCTGGAGAAAGTATGATTTAGGCTGAGCTAGAATTGGCAGTCTATTCTATAGAGGAGTTAGGACAGGTTTATAATCTCATCTAGCCTCAGACAGGGGAGAAAGGATAAAAATTCAAACTGCCTATAGCAAGTGACTTAACAATTCATGGCAGGAAGGAGGAGGAGGTTGTTCAGTTGTCAAATCTTACCTTCATTTATGTGCCTTCTATGCCATGAAATGTCTTCAGCCTAGATCTGAGATGCTATGTTGGTCTCCTGAAGAGTCCCTTAACATAAACGTGTAAATGACTAACCTTAGAATAGCCTTTATGACTCAAAGGAACTATGGAGAATTTCACTTCACACCCCAGCTCTGGCATATGTGATATTGCAGTTTTAGATGTAAGTCATTTATGAGGCTACTTCCTTTGGGAAAGATTTAGAAAACAATATTTCTGTTTACTTTTTTCTAGTTTTGTTAATTCAGATGGACTGAATTTATAATACTAATGAATAACTTACTTTATTCTTATAGAATAGATCTCCTTACAGATAAGAATTATTAGCTAATTATGACAAGCTTCATAGGTTATCCTTTAGTACTCAAGAATGTTTGATATACTTATTTTCTTCTATAGGATTATCTGCTGTGTTGTATTCAACATTGTTTGGCCTGGTATAAGAGTAAAGTAATACCCCTACAGCAGGAAGAGGAGGAGGAAGAAGAGGCATTCTACCAAGACCTGGATGATATGTTGGAGTCTATTACTAATAGAATGATAAAGAGTGAACTGGAAGACTTTGAACTGGTAATTGCTAAGTCCTCAACTGTATTGAATAATGGAGTTTTTTGGGTTTTTTTTTTTTTTTTTGGCCGGTGCTGGGTTTGAATCCATCACCCCTGGTACAGGGGGCCGGTGCCTTAACTCCTTGAGCCACAGGCACCACCCGAATAAATAGCTTATTAATTTTAATCTTGTGTCTTCCAGGATAAATCAGCAGATTTTTCTCAGAATACTGATACTGGCATAAAAAATAGTATCTGTGCTTTTCTTGTGATGGGAGTTTGTGAAGTTCTAATAGAATATAATTTCTCCATAAGTAATTTCAGGTAAGGTATTGCTGTGACTCCACTTGCAGTTTGGTGAACATTTCACTTTGTATATATTAAACTATAGGAATATGTTAGGCACTAAATACACTACAAACTATGACACTATCGCTTAATGTACATTTAGCCTAAGACCAAACTACGCTTTTTCCACCAGAGAACACTAAAATATATGCTTAATTAGGCTGATGAATGTCTCCCTTTAAGCAGGTTTTATTCAAAATTCCTCAGACCCTGTACTCAAGAACGGATTTTAATACAAAAATTTGGCTTGGCGCCTGTGGCTCAAGCAGCTAAGGCACCAGCCACATACGCCTAAGGTGGCGGGTTCGAATCCCCAGCCCTGGCCCACCAAACAACAATGATGGCTGCAACCAAAAAATGGCCAGGCGTTGTGGCGGGCGCTTGTAGTCCCAGCTACTTGGGAGGCTGAGGTAGGAGACTCGCTTGAGCCCAGGGGTTGGAGGTTGCTGTGAGCTGTGATGCTATGGCACTCTACCCAGGGGGATAGCTTGAGGCTCTGTCTTTTAAAAAAAAAAAAAAAAAATTTGATTGGTGGTAGTATTGGACTTTGTTGAGTGGTATGAATAAGGAAGAAAAAAAAATAGCCCAGATAAATTGGTATAATCTGCTGCTATAGTAGTGAAGGTCCATGCATTTATAGTGTTTTATCTAAAATATGACATTTAAAGAAGCATTATGATTTCCTTAAGTAAACCGCAATATTCTAATGTTTGTTCTTGGTGGTCTCTTTCTTTTTACATAGTAAGAATAAGTTTGAGGAAGTTCTGAGCTTATTTAAGTGTTACAAGAAACTCTCTGACATCCTTAATGAAAAAGCTGGTAAAGGCAAAACTAAAACAGCCAACAAAACAAATGATAGTATTTTGTCCATGAAATTTGTTTCTGATCTTCTCACTGCTCTTTTCAGGTAAGTTTCTACTAGAATGCTTAAAGAGATCTGTTCAGGGAAGATAATGCCCTCCTAAGTTTACCTGTTTTTCCTAGTTTATATTCACAGTTCTTACCATATAACAGAAAGAAACAAGTCAGGAGGTTTTAATTTTCTTGAAATGAAAGCAGATAGTTCTATAATGTGCACTTTAAAGAGGTACCTCAAATTATAAAAGGAAAAATGAGAAAAAATGGACTAATGAATAAAAAGGGATGAATTCCAACAGGATGTTTTAAGAAAATCTACAAAAGTAGCTTTTACAAAGTAACAGATAAAAAGGGAAAAAAGGAAAAAACTAAATTTATAAACATGAAAAGACAACAAAGAACTAACCAAAGAATAAGACTGGCATTTGAATTCGATCAAAGTAAAGGATTGGGAAGGAGGAGAAAATGAGGAAACAGGAAGAATAATGATTGTAAAATGACAGCATGATAGTGACTCTGGCATGGGCTACCAGAGTCTGCCATTCAGAGCTTGCTGGGTGCTGCTATACTAGTAGAAGGATCTTCTTTCTCTCTCTCTCTCTCCAGGGATAGTACTCCAAGCCATGAAGAGAGCCTTTCTGTTCTCAGGTCCAGCAATGAGTTTATGCGCTATGCAGTGAAAGTAGCCCTGCAGAAGGTGCAACAGCTAAAGGAAACAGGGCATGTTAGTGGCCCTGACAGTCAAAACCCAGACAAGATATTTCAGAACCTCTGTGACATAACTCGGTAAGCCACTACCACTCTCAAAGCAATTTGGGGTTAGAGATGAAGGCAGTTTGAGGTTGGGCATGTTTTAAGAGTGAAATACAGGCTCAGAGCCTGTAGCTCAAGCAGCTAAGGCACCAGCCACATACACCAGAGCTGGCAGGTTCGAATCCAGCCCAGGCCTGCCAAACAACAATGACAACTACAACTAAAAAATAGCCAGGTGTTGTGGTGGGCGCCTGTAGTCCCAGCTACTTGGGAGGCTGAGGCAAGAGAATCACTTAAGCCGGGAGTTGGAGGTTGCTGTGAGCTGTGATGCCACGGCACTCTACCCAGGGTGACAGCTTGAGTCTCTGTCTTAAAAAAAAAAAAAAAAAAGAGTGAAATACAGTCCCATTACTGAACTCACATTAGGTCTTTTTTCCAGCTTTGCCTTGTTATTGTTGTGAAAAAAGGTAGGAAGTTGCTGTGTTGCCTGTGCTGACCTTGAACTCCTGGACACACAGGGCTTCTGGTTCTGCTTGGTTGTGCATGGTTAGTCACATATGAAATGTTCTGTTATCAGGAAAAGAGAGAGATACTACCTAATCCTACATCAAGCAGACATAGTTTTAAATGTTTATGTATTTGACAACAGAAATTCAAAATACTTGAAGCAAAAACTATAGAACTAAAGGAACAAGAGACAAACCCTATAATTAGTCTTCTCTAATAACCAATCCTTTGTAATCGACAAAAACTAGTAGATAGAAAATTAGGAAGTACTAGAGACCTGAACAACTCAGTCATCCAGTGTGACTTAATTGATACTTATAAGAACACTCAGCAATAGCTTCAAAATGAATATACATTGTTTTCATGTGCACATGATACATTCACCAAGATGGACCATATTTAGGCCATAAAACAAATAACATTTAGAAAAAAAATCAATCTCTGATCACAACAGAATTAAACAAAAGAACAATAATGGAAAGATACCTATATAATCCTCATGTATTACAAGTTAAATGCACTTCTAAATATCCCATATTTGAAGACAGTGTCTTAAGGAAAATTACAAAACATCTTGAACAGAATAGAAATGAACATATAGCATATTAAATCATGTATGGTCCAGCTAAAGTACTATTCAGGTAGAAATTATAAGCAGTTGGTGATTTTAAAAAATCTCAAATCTCCCATATATACATTCACATTAAAAAAATAAAGAACAAATTAAAAGAAAGGAAGCAGGAGAAAGGATATAGTAGATAGAAATCAGAATTATGAAGAAGCAAAAAAAAAAAAAAAAAAAAACAATGAAGAAAGGGTGGATCTTTGAGAAGTTCAATAAACTTGTTAAATCTTAGCCTGACTAATCAGGAAAAGAGGCCAGTGTGGTGGCTCACAAGAGTAGTCTTAGCACTCTAAGAAGCCAAAGTGGGAGGATTGCTTAAGCTCAGGAGTTAAAGACCAGCCTGAGGCAAGAGCAAGATCCCCGTCTCTACAAAAAAAAAAAACAAACAAACAGAAAAATTAGCTGGGCATGGTGGCATGTACCTGTAGTCTTAGCTACTGAGGCAGGAGGATTAATTGAGCCTGGGAGTTTGAGGTTGCTGTGAGCTAGGCTGATACCACAGCACTCCAGCATAGAGAAACATAATGTGACTCTCAAAAAAGAATTTTGATATTAAGTATTAATGATTTTATGACACTGAATTTAATAAGTTAAATGAATAAATTTCTTGAAAGTTCACTTGAGGCTCCCCACCCATATCTCTGTGGTTAGAGTGCTGGCCATGTACACTGGGGCTGGTGGGTTTGAACCCAGCCTGGGCCTGCTAAACAACAATCACAACTACAACAAAAAAATAGCTGGGCATTGTGGGGGGCACCTATAGTCCCAGCTACCTTGGGAGGCTGAGGCAAGAGAATCACTTAGGCCCAAGAACTTGAGGTTGCTATGAGCTTTGATGCCATGGCACTCTATCGAGGGTAACATAATGAGACTCTGTCAAAAAAAAAAAAAAAAAAACTTGAGAAAAATTAGATAACCTGAATAATCCTATTTCTTCCTTTTCTTTTTCTTTTTTTGAGACAGAGCCTCAAGCTGTCGCCCTGGGTAGAGTGCTCAGCCTCCCAAGTAGCTGGGACTACAGACGCCTGCCACAATGCCCACCTATTTTTGGTTATAGTTGTCATTGTTGTTTGGCAGGCCTGGGCTGGATTCAAACCCGCCAGTTCTGGTGTATGTGACTGGAGCCTTAGCCGCTTGAGCGGCTAAGGTAATAGTAATCCTAAGGCTAATAGTAATCCTATTTCTATTAAAGAAATAATTCCTATTTCTATTAATTGAATTTGTGATTCAACTTTTTCTCTCAAAACTTTAGCATTAGAGCTCTTCACTGGTAAATTCTACCAAACACTTAAGGGACAAATATCAATTCTCTGCAAACTCTTAAGAAAGTGGAAGAGAAGAGAACATATTTCAACTTTATTAATGAGATCAATATTACCCTGATGCCAAAACCAGACCAAGGACATTACAAAAACTACCGACTAATTTCCCTTGTGAATATAAATAAATAGGTGGCACCTGTGGCTCAAAAGAGTAGGGTGCCGGCCCCATATGCTGGAGGTGGTGGGTTCAAACCCAGCCCCTGCCAAAAAAAAAAAAAAAAAAAGAATATAAATAAATAAAGTTTGCTAATTTATTCCAACAATACATGAGAAAGATAATGTACCATAATTGGGTGGGATTTCTCCGAAGAATGCAAGATTGGCTCAAAAGTTGTAAATCAACTAATGTAGTTCCCACTGATATTTAACATCATACTAGAAGTCCTAGCCAATGCAGTAAGGCATGAAAGGAAACAAAGGACATACTATCTTTATTCATGGTTAATACAATTATCTACATAGAAAATTCCAAAGAATTAAAAAAAGCTACAAGATTTTTTTTCTTTTCTTTTTGAGACAGCACTTTGTCATCCTTAAGTAGAGTGCTGTAGTGTCATAGCTCACAGCAACCTCAAACACCTGGGCTCAAGCAATTCTCTTGCCTCAGCTTCCCATGTAGCTGGGACTACAGGCACCTGCCACAACACCTGACTATATTTTTTAAAACAATACCTTTTTTTTTTTCTTTTGAGACAGTCTCAGTTTGTTGCCTTCGGTAGAGTGCTATGGCATCACAGCTCACAGCAACCTCCAGCTCTTGGGCTTAAGCGATTCTCTTGCCTCGGCCTCCCAAGTAGCTGGGACTATAGGCACCCACTGCAATGCCCGGCTATTTTTTTGTTGCAGTTTAGCCGGGGTCGGGTTGGAACCTGCCACCTTCTGTATATGGAGCCAGCACCTTACTGAGCTACAGGTGCCGCCCAACAAATAATAACACCATAAAACATGAGCTGCTTGGTGATAAATCTAACAAATGGGCAAAATTTGTATGATAGAACTATAAAACATTTATGAGAGAGGTCAGAAACCTAAGTAAATACAATGATACAGAGTCCATGGATGGAAGATTCAGTATTGTCACTATGTGAATTCTTCTTAAACTGATCTTTAGAATAACAAAATCCCAATGAAAATCCTATCAAAATTTACTGAAAGAATTGACAAGATTCTGACATTTACATGGGAGAAATAGAGGACCTAGAATAACTAATACAAGTATGGAAAGAAAGAACAAAGCATGCACTACCTGATTTCAAGTCTTACATAGTTGCTGTATTTAAGTTGCTGAAAGTGTTATTGGCAGAAGCAATGGAACAGAATAAGTAGTTCAGAAACAGACTCACACAAATACGGTCATTTGATTTTTATTTATTTAGTTCTTCTGAGACAGTCTTACTCTATTGCCCAGCTTAGACTGCAGGTGGCATTATCACAGCTCACTTCACAGTAACCTCAAAACTCCTAGGTTTAAGCAATCTTCCTGCCTCTGCCTCCTGAGTAGCTGGTATTATTGATGCCCAGCTAATTTTTCTATTTTTAGTAGAGATGTCTCTTGCTCAGGCTGGTCTTAAACTTATAATCTAAGCAGTCCACCTGCCTCAGCCTACTAGAGTGCTAGGATTATAGGTGTAAGTCATTACAACTAGCTAGTCGTTAGATTTTTAACAAAAGAAAAGCTTTCTTTTGTTTTATTATTATTTACTTATTTATTTTGTTTGTTTTTGACAAGATCTCACTTTGTTGCCCTCAGTAGAATGGTGTGGCATCATAGCTCACAGCAACCTCAAACTCTTGGGCTTAGCCAATTCTCTTGCCTCAGCCTCCTGTGTAGAGCTGGGATGACAGCTGCCTGCCACAATGCCCAACTGTTTTTAGAGATGGGGGTTGGCTCTTGCTCAGGCTGGTCTCGAACTCCTGTGCTCAAGCAATCCACCTGCCTTGGCCTCCCATAGTGTTCAAGATTACACGCGTGAGCCCATGTGCCCAGCCCAGAAAAGTCTTTTTTTAACAAATGGTTTTGGAATGATTGAATGTCTCTATGCAAAAAAAAAGTAAACCTGTATCTATCCTTCCTACCATATTAAAAAATTAACTTGAGATGGATCAGACAAATGTAAAAACGAACAACAAATTTTTAAATGTAGAAACAAAATTTTAAAACTTCTAGGTGAAGGGCGGCACCTGTGGCTCAGTGAGTAGGGCACCAGCCCCACATACCGAGAGTGGCAGGTTCGAACCTGGCCCCGGCCAAACTGCAACAAAAACAAAAATAGCCGAGCATTGTGGCAGGCACCTGTAGTCCCAGCTACTCCGGAGGTTGAAGCAAGAGAATTGCCTAAGCCCAAGAGCTGGAGATTGCTGTGAGCTATAACATAATGGCACTCTACTGAGGGCAACAAAGTAAGACCCTGTCTCTAAAAAAAACTTTCATCTTTCTTCTAGATGAAAACATGAGAAAAATATTGTGGCCTTGTTTTAGGCAAAGATTTCTTATATATAACTTCAAAAGCACAATATTTATAAAGTAAAAATTTTCTTTTTTTTTTTTTTTTTTTTTTTTGGAGACAGTCTCACTCAGTTGCTCTGGGGTTTTGTGCCTTCGTGTTATAGCTCACAGCAACCTCAAACTCTTGGGCTCAAGTGGTCCTCTTGTTTCCTGAGTACCTGGTACTATAGGCACTCACCACAATGTCCATCTGTTTTTAGAGACAAGAGTCTCACCCACGCTCATTCTCAGGCTGGTCTCGAACTCCTGAACTCAAACAATCTGCCAGCCTTCGCCTCGGCCTCCCAGAGTGTTAGGATTACAGGTGTGAGACACCACACCTGGCCCTAAAGTAAAAATTTTTTAACTCTGCTCTCCAGACATACTTTGGAGTATTTTCTTACTAATGAGAGAAAATATTTGCAAAACACATCTGTTGAAGGATTGATTGGTAACAAGAGTATATAAAGAACTCTAAAATTTACTATTGTAAGAAAACAATTTATTAATAAAAATATATAGATGGTAGCTAAGCAAAAAAAAAAAGGTGGTCAACATAATTACTCATTAGATAAATGCAAATTAAAATCATAATTTATTACAGTGCCTAAAATAAAAAAGGACTGAACATATCAAAGTGTGGTTATTAATGTAATGTAGAGAAATTTGAACTTGTATGCAATGTTCGTGGGAATGTAAAATGGTATGACCATTTTGTAACAGTTTGACACTTAAAAAAAATAAGTTAACCTACCACATGATTTACCCATTGCCACTCTTAGGTCTTTACCCAAAAGAAATGAAGGCATCTATTCATATAAAGTCCCATATAAAAATGTTCATAGTAGCTTTGTGATAATAATATCTGGAAACAACTGAAATGCCCATCAACTGGTAAATGGACAGACTCGTATATCCATACAATGGAATTCTGCTCAGCAGTAAAGTGGAACAAATTATTGTTACACACCACAAGTTAGGTGAATTTCCAAAGCATATGCTGTATTAACAAAGCCAGACTCAAGATGGTACATAATAAATGATACCATTTTAATATGACGTTTTATAAAAAGTAAAACCAGAGACAAATCAAATTCGTGTTTGCTTGGAAATGGGAAGAGAGAATTGTTTGCTAGTGAGCATGAGGAAACTTTTGGGGTCATGGAAATAGCTTGATGGTGGGACAGTGACACAACTGTGTAAGTTTACAACTGTTCACATATAGGATATGAAGTTCGCTCTGTGATTGTATGTGAGTCAGTCTATCTTTACAACTAAAATCACTTTTCCTTCCAGGGTCTTGTTATGGAGGTATACATCAATTCCTACTTCAGTGGAAGAGTTGGGAAAGAAAGAGAAAGGAAAAAGTATCTCACTGTTGTGCTTGGAGGGTTTACAGAAGATATTCAGTGCTGTGCAACAGTTCTATCAGCCCAAGATTCAGCAGTTTCTCAGGGCTCTGGGTCAGCATTTCAGTATCAATAAATACGCTTTGTCTGGGTTTCTCCTCCTTAACCAATCCCCTTGATTCTTTTTATTAACCTACCAGAAGGCACTTGAGAGCTGTCCTAATGTTGCTAAAGAGTGACATCTAGTGGATTCAGGATTGGTATTTACCAGATTACATTTAAGTACAAATAGTGACTGAAAAATGGAATGTATTACTAAAAAACTATAAGATTTAAGAGATACATTAATAGCTGCCTTGAGATTTTTGGCTTTTTTAAATTTTTAGTTACTAAAAGACCAAAAATGCATACATTGATATCAAAGAAGGGTTCTTTTCCATTCCTAGATGTCACAGATGTGGAAGACAGAGAAGATGCAGATGTCAGTGTCACTCAAAGAGCAGCTTTCCAGATCCGGCAATTTCAGGTGAGAAGCCTTGAGAAGCTCTTGAACAGCTGGTAAGGATGGGCAAGTAGGACAGGAATTTTTCCTGGGTCATTCAAGTAACAGAACATAGCTCTCGGAATAGAAAATAATGCATTTAAAACAACCTGAGGATGTATGTTTAGCCACTCAACCTGCAAAACTCACTGCTTCCGGGAACATGAATTGATAATAAAGAAGTAGCCAGGAACCCTTCAAGGTAGTAGAATCTATGCTTTTGTTTTTGAGTCTGTAGTATAATATTGCTTGATTTGTTAGATTACATGAACTGGACAATAAAAGGTGTTTTCTGTCTTCTTTTCCTTCCTTCCTTTTTTTTGAGACAGAATCTTACTGTGCTGCCTAGGCTAGAGTTCCAGGCATAAGCCTAGCTCACAGCAACCTCAAACTCCTGGGTTTAAGAGATCCTCTTGCTTCAGCCTCCTGAGTAGCCGGGACTATAGGCACCTCCCACAATGCCCTGCTAATTTTTCTATTTTTAGTAGCGACAGGGTCTTGCTCTTGCTCAGGCTGGTCTTGAACTCTGGAGCTCAAGTAATCTTTCCACCTTGGCCTCCCAGATTGCTATAATTACAAGTATGAGCCACTGCACCCGGCCAAGCCTATTAATTTCTAACCAGCAATTGTCAGTTAGTAGGGTATTCTATTATGCAGGATTTCTTTATTTAGGAAATAATTTTAAATTTTCTATTATGTTCCAAGAACTGTACTAGGTGCTGAGGATTCAGGGAACAAAAAAGACAAATTTTTATACCATTTAGAGCTTAAGTTATAGTAGAGAGTGACAATAATAGTATATAAGGTAACAGGGAAGGTGGGTAGAGAATGCTGGTAAGAGAAGAGGTTTGTTGCCTTTCGTAAGCCTGAGGTCATTAGATGGACTCCAGGAAGTTTTAAACTATCAAAAATAGGGTACACAGTCACTTCTGACATATATATGTTGGGCCCAGGGGGGTGGAGGAGAAAAAGTCATAGTTTTCAGGATACTGAAATACTTCTCAGAGTGATTTATGATTGAAAATGGGTTAGTAAACTACTGTTCAGTCTAGGCTTATTTTTGGGTATTATCCCCTTGGAATTTTGGTAGCACTGAACTAGGAATCTAAGTTGTCTTCTCCCTAATAGGAACATGTCTGCTAATGTTTCTGTGTATACTTGGCTTTTCAGAGGTCCTTGTTGAATTTACTTAACAGTGAAGAGGAAGATTTTAATAGTAAAGAAGCCGTCTTACTAGTCTCTGTTCTTACCAGTTTGTCCAAGCTACTGGAGCCCTCCTCTCCTCAGGTACTAGTGATATTCATTCCCGTTTAGCATCCCTCATAAGGCAAAGATTATTGCATTATATATAAGTATATATAAATGTCCTCTTAAAATCTAGCTTATTTAAAATTACGCACCTGAATTAATATAAGACGTATAAAATAGATCCTTTCCTACATAGTGTTTCTACTGTGACATGTGCAACCATACTAGGCAAGAACGTACTGCTTTTGTTTGGCCACTGTCAAGGGTACACCATACACCACAGAAAAAGTATTAGGTTTATCTTTGGTATCTTCAACCTTCTTAAACTGTGTTCTCACTCTTGGGGTTTCTCCTTATTTTCTAAGATGAAAGTTTGTTAATTATGAAGAAGACATTCAGCATTTCAGCCAGACATTGGCTTTCTCAATACAGTTACCTGGTATTGAGTTTGGTGAAAAATTCAGCAAAAGGTGATTAAGACAGAAAATGTGACTATAAACAATTCTGCAAGATAGGTTGTAGGTGTGCACAGATGTAGAATTGTACACCTACCTGATAATATTCAATCAATCTGTTTCATTCAGGAGTAATTTTCCTATAGGATGATAAAGGTCATCCCCAGGCTTCTGGGGTTGTACTTTTAACATATCCCCTGGGGTACATGGCTCATTATGTGAGCCCTTGCTTCAGGAAGACAATAGCCTTGGAGTATGACGGTGTTTAAGTGCTGGAAAGCACTTAATCCTAGTTAGTCCAAAGAAAGTCCCTTTCACTACTCCATCCCAGTTCCAAACAGTTCACCCCCACTATAGTTTCCACTTTATTTTTCCTACTGTTACTTTTGCTACAAAGAGGAAAGGACTGAGAAAGAAACAGAGAATTTGGGCAGAGGGAAATTGGGGGTGTGAAATAAATGGATTTGGAAAGGTTAATATATACAGGCAACATTTTTATTTACTTTTCATCATTTACCCCCTTCATCCTTAACCTTACTCAGTCTCTAAAATATTTTAAATTGAATTCCGAATGCATAATAAAGTACTATAATTTGAAAACCAGAGATTATCAAGAGATTTATAGTAATGGTCTCCTCTATCTATGTCTTCCTCTCCCCAAACAAGTAAATACCTTTAGTTTTTTGTATGTCCTTAAGAATTTATTCTTAGCCAAGCTAATGTGAATGTTGATTTTTATTCCCAGTCCTACCCCTCTTCATGCAAAAGCTTGTTCAGTATCCCACTTACCTCACTTACCACTATTCTGTAAATCTTTTAATACCGGTTCACTTCTAGTTAGCCTTTTAATTTGTCCTCTTCCCCCAAACAGAATTCTTATTAGTCTTTTGGACTTAAGTATCACTGTATTTCAGTGCCTTGCTAGCTGAAAGCCTATGGCAAGAACTGCTGAAGCAGAAAGTTCAGTGTCTGATGATGCAAATCCTGCCATCTTAAGTCTCTTTTACCTACTTAAGAAAATCTGGGGTTTTTCTCCTTTTCCTTTTCCTTTCTTTTTTCCCCCACTCTCCCCCCATATAACCTCCTTTGATCTCTTGGCTCCTAAAAGCTAATTCTACTATCCTTATAACCAGAATCATCCCCATGCCTCTCCAATAACCTAAAATCCTTAAAGATGTCTCAAGTGTGAAGAGCATAGCATTGCAGCAAGGAAAAAGAGCTTTAACCTTGTCTACTATGGTAGGAGCAGAGGAAGCTCAGGTGTACAGACCCAGACCCCAAAATCTTTGGCCCTAATGAGGGCATAGACAATGACTATACTATGAGAATGGCATCCATAATTCTCATAATTTAGGGTTTATTTTTATACCTTTTTTTTTTTTTTTT